AGGTATTTCTATTTCCAACCTTCTGAGGAAATGTCATATTGGTTTTCAGAGAGGTTGGAACATTTTGTAATCCCACCAGCAATGCAGGAGTGTCCCAGTCTCTCCACATCCTCACCAGCATTTATTGTCTTCTACTTTTTTTTAATCTTTGCTGTTCTTGCTGATGTGAGATGATATCTCATTGTTGTTTTGATTTGCATCTCTCTTTCTGCTTCTGTTAAAGATTTACAGCCTCGGAAACCCTGTACAGGGTCACTATGAGTCAGAACCGACTCCATGGCACATAACAACAACAACAATGGCTATTTATGGTGTTGGGAGAATATTGAAAGTGCCATGTGCTGCCAAAAGAACCAACAGATCCGTGTTGCAAGAAGTGTAGCCAGAGTGCTCCTTGGAGGCCAGGATGGAAAAACTTTGTCTCTCATACTTCGGACATATTGTCAGGAGGGACCAAGTAGCTGGAGAAGGATATCATGTTTGGTAAGGTGGAGGGTCAGAGAAAAAGAGGGAGAACTCCAACGAGATGGATTGGCCAAGTGGCAGCATCGATGGACTCAAGCGTGGCAATAATAGTGAGGTTGGCCCAAGATCAGGCAATATTTCATTCTGCTGCACATAAGGTCACTATGAGTTGGTACCAACTCGATGGCACCTAACAACAACAACAACAATGGCTAGTGACCGTGAAAATTTCTTTATATGTTTGTTGGTTGCCCGGATCTCCTCCTTGGTGAAGTGTCTGTTCATGTCCTGTGCCCATTTTTAAATTGGGTTATTTGTCTTTTTTCTTGTAGAAGTAGTTTAGTTTTCTACATTATTTTAGAAATGAGTCCCTTGTCTGATGTGTGGTTGCAAAATATTTTTTCCCATTCTGTGAGTTCCCTTTTTACTCTGCTGGTGAAGTCTTTTGATGCACATAAGTTTTTAATTTTTAGTATGTCCCAATCATCTATTTTGCCTACTTTTGTGTAGTTTTCAAAATGTTTGATAGTCTGTGTATTCCCTGAATTAGTGCCCTCACAATTGTCCCTATTTTTTCATTGATGGCTTTCATAATTCTGGGATTCACATTTTGGTCTTTAATCCATGTTGAGTTGGTTTTGGTATAAGGTTGAGGTAAAGGTCTTATTTCAATTTTTGCATATCACTTTCCAGTTCTGCCAGCACCA